AAGGGACTGCTCACTCTGCAGTCCTGCTTTCAGACCTGGCCGTGGGCAGCAGAGAACCAGAGAAAAGGCGGTGTCATCTCTGTGCCCACACATGCCCAGCCCTGCACCCAGCGCACCGGGAGGTCACTCGGTCTGCGTCCCAAGTCAACGGCCAGAGCCCGCTGCTCTGGTTTCCCCCTCCCACTCCTCCGACCCGATGCTCAGCCACTTTGGCACTTTGCTCGCCTCGCCTTTCTTTTCTCCTTTGCCCATCAGCTTCTTTCCCTGGAGAAACTGTCTCAACCTTGCCCTTTCCTGGAAGAAAACCAGCCCTCTCCCATATCCAAAGCCACTTCCTCTCATGCCTTGTCTCACCCCTTCTTGCCAAAGATCTAAGTCAGGGGCCCACCGCAGGCCAGGCCACCCTTGGCCCCTCTGTCTCACCTGACACCATGGCTGCTCCCTCACTCTAGGATCTTACAGAAAGAAGGGAATAGGGAATATCCCCTCCTGGGACGCTATCCACCTCCCCTCTCTCCTAACCCCTAAAAATGTCTGACTCACAAACCTTGTCTCCAGGACTAACCTTTGCATCCCTGGTTACCCCCAGAGCCCTCACCCTCAAGAGCTCAAGCTCCAGCAACAGGGCCTGCTTTGGGGCGTGTCTATAAAGCTGGTACAGCCGGAGGGTGGCCCACGCAGGGACTTGGCTGTTGGTTCAGCAAATGGATTCAGACTCTTCTCACTGCCTTCAGAGGGACTGACTTCCCATGCCCTGACACTGCCAGCCAGGTGCCCTTCCTACAACTGAAAAATGACCATCACCAAAACGTTTGGCATCCCACGGAACAAGGGTTGTGATCCCGACAGCAGGAAGATGAGACTGTCTGCATCTGCACTTCCACGGCGGTGGGGGTGGGGACGTGCCCTTGGAGATACTCTCACTGCCCCCATTCTCAGTCCAAGGGCACCAATTAGCTGGCACCTTTGCACGCCAGGGCTGGCACCCTGCACATGTCGGCTCAAGAATACAGACAACTATTAGAGCTGCAAGTGATCTCTGGGACCACAGCGCCAAGGCTCAAAGGAACTCAGAGACGTTGAGCAAGGGGCCACCATGGGTGAGGCAATACCCTCACCTGAGCCACTCACCTTGATGAGAAACCAGACCAGTCCTCAGGAAAACGTCGCCTGCACCTCACATATGTGCATGCCAGAGTCCGCAGCCAACCCTGAGACTGGGCCTGCTCCATGCTGGCCAAAATCTGAATCAGGCAGCTGGGCCAGGACTGGTGCACAGGACCTCAGCAAAACAACTGCTTGACTAAGTCAACTTTTCACCACCCCTCCCTAGGCCTTGGCCTCCTATCTGAAGAGTGGCGCTAACTCAGCCTAGAAGTTTTAAGGGACTTTGAGTTGGTCACCGCTCCGCCCCCCTCCTCTGCAAACCCAGGCGCCTAAAGCCGCAGAGTTTCAAGCACTTTGATTCACTGTTAGCCCAGCTGATTTTCATTAACCTTTCCCCAAACCCACTGTTTCTCTCAAAGAATGGGTCCGGTCCACCTGCGCAGAATTAACCAGCGAGATCAAGTTAAATGCAATTCCCAGACCCTACTCGGTTCTGAGCAGCTAGGTCGGCTCTCTGAGGCCGTATTTAATCTGCAAATTTTACTCAAAAATCCCGAGCTCCCTGAAACTCAAGAAGTCGCCTCCACACCCAAAGGGTGCAGGCTTTCGTCTTCGGAGACCCAACTGTTAGCGGCAGGTCTCATTTTGTGGAAAGATACATTGACCAGAAAACCAGCGATAGGGACGGTTTCTACGATACGAATCACACACAACTTAAGTTTCTGCGAGTAACTCAGTGCGACTCTGCTCTCCCCGTCCCACAAGTTTTGTTTCCCGGGGGGCCCCAACCTCGGCGTCCAGCCTGGATTCTCCAGAACCACCCGACCTCGGCCCGACCCGGCCACGGCCGCGAGTCAAGCGCCTCCCCGCTACTCACCGTGGGCAGGTCGGTCCGAGTGCCGGGACGGTCAGCTGCGGAGTCGGAGGAGCCGGCGCCGGCGGCCCGGCCCAGCCCCGCTACACTTTAACCGGCAGCGCCGGCGCTCCGCGCGCTCTGGGCGGCCAGGAGAGGGACCGCGGGCGTCTCGGACCCGACCTGCTCCTGGCGGCGGGCGGGCGCCGGGCGGGCCTGCGGGCCGGGGCGGGCGGGTAGTGCGCGCACTCGCGCACCTGGCTCACCGCACGCACGGGTGCGCTGGGCCGGCGCGTGCGTGGCTGCCCGGGAGACGCTCGGACCCCGGCAGCCATCCCGCGCGACCCCTGCAGGCCGGGCACTACATTCCCCACCCTGGGAGGGCGCCAGAGGGCCGCCCCTACCCGGGCGGTGCTGGGGGAGGCGGAGCCCGGAGGTGTGGCCCCGGGCGCCTGGATAAGAGCGCGCGGCCCGAAGCCGATCTGGACCCCGCGAGGTGGCGGGCGGTGGCCCCGCGATGTCGCTAGTATTGCTGAGCCTGGCCGCACTGTGCTGCGGGGCCGTGCCTCCAGAGCCGGTAAGCGCCCCCGTCCGCTCCCCTCTCCCGCGTTCCGGTCCCTCAAACCCGGACCCAAACGCGTCCCAACCCATCAGCTCATGCTCCTCCGAGGCGTTGCAGAGGGCGGTCTGAAGCGGGGATCGGGCGTCGGACTGCTTAAGTCTGGGGCGAGGGAATCAGACGGGTTCAGATGCCACCATCCGTTCTTTATCCAGCCATTTATGCTCAATGAGCCTCGTGTCCTCATCTGTCTAACTGAAGGGTCATATATCTCACTCACCAGGATTTAGTGAAGGACAGCGACCCGGCCCGTAAGGTAGCAGCAAAGAGCCTAGCACGTATTAGGCGTTCATTATTGTTATTGCCTGGGGTCGCAAGAGCTGCTTCTACGTTCCAGTCGCCTTTTTTTGGCGTGTTCTTTGCGCTGTACTGGGGTCCTTGTCCCCAGACCTAAGACCCTGAATTCTGCAGCTTCCCCTTCTTCCCTTGCCTTAAAGGATTGAGGCACTCTTCTGGGTCTTCACAAAACCTCATTTGCAAACAGCGTTTGAAGTTATATTGTTGCTCTTAAGCTTAGCACGTAGCATAAAAGCCTGGTGTCATTTGCTGATGGAAAGACATACTCTGCCTTGACGTCTTCAGCTCCTCTCCTTGTCCTCCGTCTCAGTGCAGAGCCCACCCCCTCACTCCACCGCACCCCTACCTTTCCCCTAGAGGAAGAATTCATTGCTTTTGCAGTACCTGCTACTAGGCCTGTAGCTTGAACTCTGTACAAAGCTTAGAGCTGTGGCTTTGCATCTTTCTAAAATTTGTCTCAGCAGCCCCTTGACAAAAACTTAGCTTCCAATATCACCATGGTGGCTTATTTGTTTAAAAAACTATCTGGTGACATCCCTTGGAGTTCAGCTTTAAAAAGACAAAGATGAGTGACTGACAGTTCCACCCAACTCATATTACTCAAATCATCAAAAGTCTTGCCTTCTGCCTTCGCGGTGCTGAGAAAGATTGAGGCTGTGAGGGCTCAAGTTCCAGAGCTGGCCGGCTTGCCCACGCTGTGTCATGCGTGTCATGGGAACTTGCTGCTTCCTTTTAGGTCCTGAATTTTATTCCAAAACCAAAGGACTTTTTCTTATAAAAAGACATGAGCAGTTAATCCAAAGGATTTCATATTGGCCTTTCTTAGATACTAATGATATTGTTTATTTTTATAAGTTCTTCTTAAAAAGATAACATGATGAAATCATAGTTGCTTTATGATTTGGTAAATAGTTCCAGTGAGTCTTTTTATATCAGAAGGGAAATTTTTTAAAGAACCTTGGAAAGGTACCATGGACTGCATTCTGCTCTTCTTGGCACAGCCAGTCTTTAACCTGGGGAAACTCAATAAATATTCTAGACTGTCCTAGAAGGCCACAGTTAGTGTGAAGGGGCCTCCATGATGGTCCAGAGTTATCCCCTGCTTGTGGCAGGCAAGGGTGAGCTGCAGAGAGGGGTGTAAACCCACCTTCGATCTTTAAGGGAGATGGCCAGGCTTGAGGTTCAAGTAAATGGTAGTTAATCTATGGCCCATCAGAGCCTACCGTAGGGCTCCTTAATGTCTCCCAAACTGTGAAGTGGGAGCAGCTCAGCTTTTCTTTGAACATGCATCACTTGTATATGCATTTAAGGGAAAAGATGGTGTTTTGTCTAATTGGCAAATGAAGGCTTCTGGTTTGCTGGTATTCAACATGGCACTCGATTTCTTTCTCTCTTGCAGACCATTCAGTGTGGCTCTGAACCCGGTAGGTGCACTAGAAACAGTCAGAAGTACAGTTGGACTTTCAGGGGACCTGAATGCCAGCAGTAGGTCATCAAAGACCAGGCGCAGGGTGAAACTCCGCTTTGTTAGCTGATGCGGGTGAAGCCTCCATCTGCCCAAGGCAGAGCTCCCAGGGTTTCGGGTGGGCTGGCCTCCTGGCTGGAAAGAGGCACAGGAGATCAAGTGCCATGGGAGGGACGTCATTTACACTTGGGAACAGGAAGCAAATGTTTTAGAGAAGAAGGAGTGTTGGAGATGGTAGCATTTAAAGAATGGGTGTGTTTCTGCCCAAGAAATGTGGATGGACAGAATGAGCTGGAGGAGAGATGGTCCTGGCAGAAGCTAAGGGGTAGGAAGGGGGTGTCATGGGGGTAAGCTGGCTGGAGTCCAGGCTGAGGTATGGGGGCAGGCAGAAGTGATCCTAATATACATGTCAAATAAATTAGATATATACATACATATGAAGGGGCCCAGAGTGGGCACATGTGCCCTGTAGGTTGGGCCCAGGAGGCTCAGCATCACCTAAGCTGCACATCAGCCAGCACTGAGAAATGTCTGGCCTGCCTTAGCTGAAAGAAGAGATGAATTGTGAGTGACGGGTGGTCACAGGGGGCCATGTAGAGTAGGTGGCATTGGACTGGGCTGGGGAAGGGATGTCATGGGGCAGTTTTGCCTTCTCCCAGGACCGTCTCCAGAGTGGATGGTCCGACACACCCTGACCCCAGGGGACCTGAGGGACCTCCGAGTGGAGCCTATTAAAAGCAGTGTTGACCTGGAGGACTCTTCAATTTTGATGAACATAAGCTGGATACTCCGGGCAGATGGTAAGTTTGCATCAATCAATGGTAAGGCCTGACGTATCTACTAAAGCAGAAATGGGCAGACTCGACAACCCATGACCTCCCTTCCCGGCACATACCCAACAGAACACATACACGCATGCCACAGATATGCCAGATACATGCCATACATACACCAAAGCCACAGACTAGAATGCTCATAGTAGCGGTATTCAAAACAGCCAAAAATAAAACGCCTTAAATGCCTGACAGTAGACTTAGATTCACAAAACAGAATCCAGTATATCAATTAGCATGAATGATTTATGACTATGTGTGGATGAATCTCACAAACAAAAGAAGCCAGATTCGGGAGTTCACACTTTTCACCTCTGCACACAGGCCTGCAGTCCTACCCACAAGATGATTCCATTAACAAAAAGTGCAAAACAGGCGAAACTACTCTATGTAGTTAGAAGTCGGGACAGTGGCTATTCTTGGGTAAAAGTTGCTCAGTTAATGTCTGATTATTTGTGACCCTATGCACTCAGTGTAGCCTGCCAGGCTCCTCCATCCATGGGATTCTCAGGCAAGAATACTGGAATGAGTAGCCATTCTCTTCTCCAGAGGATCTTCCAAACCCAGGGATTGAACCCAGGTCTCCTGCATTGCAGGTGGATTCTTTACCATCTAAACCACCAGAGAAGCCCATCCTTGGGTGGGGAGTGACTGAAAGGAGGCCTGAGGGGCACTCCTGGGGTGTTCCTTGACCTGGGTACTGGCTGCACAAGTGTGAAAACTCATCAAGTGGTGTGTTGGTATTGGTCAGCTTTTCTATATGTTACGCTGTTTTTCATGGAAGAAAATGGGATAAGGCCAGAGATGATCTCCCAGTAGGAAAACATTCTCTTGGGTAGATAGCTTTTCCATCTCCCAAAGGACATCATGGAAGTCCTAGCATTTCTCTGAGCCACTTTGGATGAACCAGTACTGGGGGCCTAAAGCCCATATCTGTAGGGTCCGCTCACTAAATTCAGCTAAATTCCATATGGTCATAATCTGGGAGTGCCAAGCACAGAGAGCTGAGTGAGCTCTAGTTCCTGCTCAGTCAGGTTCTCGGGGCCCAAGGGGAGGCAGCCAGACTGTCAGGGGAATCCTGGAGGGACCCGTACTTTATCTTCAGTTCGGTTGAAGGGAGAGGAGGAGGAGCGGGCCCTGGTGAGACCACATTAAATTAGGTGGCATTTGGCTTCATCCCTGGCACAGAGTGAGCTCCTGTATTTGTTAGCTATCATTATAGATGGTGGTGCATAAGTTGGGCCTTGAAGGAGAAAGAATTGGCAAGGCAAAGAACAGGAGGAAAAGGCATTGCAGGGAGAAGGATCGGCATGGATAAAGGTACAGACGGAACAGGTTTGGCTACTGAGGACACTCTGAGAGGCCTGTGCTCTACACAGCACGCCTGTTCCTCTTAAAAGAGGTCCAGGATAGTGGAAAGGTAGACTCTTCTTTGCAGGTACCTGTGAAATTTAGGCTCACCTATGAGGAGGAAAGGCTTTGGAATCTGAATCCGTATTCTGTCGCTGATGAACTTTGTAAGCCACGCACAACTCCCTGAAATTCACCAAGCCTCGCTCACCCTTTCTGTAAACCGGGAACAATCATAGTGCCGACCTCTGAGAGTCACGGTGAATGTGAAGGCAGGTAGGCTATCTAGCATCCGATCAGCTACAGAGGAAGCACTAAATACACAACTGCCCTCTTACCCACCCTGGCAGCCAGCATCCGCTTGTTGAAGGCCACCAAGATCTGCGTGATGGGCAAAAGCCACTTCGAGTCCTACAGCTGCGTCAGGTGCAATTATACCCAGGCCTTCCAGACTCAGACCAGACCCTCCGGTGGCAAAGTAAGCACTTGGAGACACCTGGGAGGGCTGTCACTAATCTGGATCCTTTGTTGGGGGTGTGGATTTGTGTTCACATACAGGCTGCTGACAGCCACAACCTGGAACCTGGATGTCCGGGTTCAAATCCCACTTGGGGCCATTTCTCTGCTGTGTGCCTTGGGCAAGTCAGCATCCCTGGGCCTCAATTTCTCCATCAGCAAAATCAGGGAAGTGTTAGTCGCTCAGTCGTGTCCAACTCTGTGATTCCATGGACTGTAGCCCGCCAGGCTCCTCTGTTCATGGTATTCTCCAGGCAAGAATACTGGAGTGGGTTGCCATTCCCTTTTCTAGGGGATCTTCCTGACCCAGAGATTGAACCCAGGTCTCCTGCATTGTGGGCAAATTCTTTACTGTTTGAGCGAGCGGGGGAACCCAAGTGAGGGAAACTGAACCTAAGTTATATCCTGGCTCTAGAACTTTACACTTCTCTAATTCTGTGGGTTACACTGGCAAACTGTGTGGGGTCAATTTCCTTAATAGACATTGGCTAGAGACATAAGTTTTAGTAGTGGGTTAAGGAATGAAATTATAAATGAAAAAGATGTGGCAATTCAAGGGTTCCCACTTTGCTTTGCAGTGGATGTTTTCCTACATTGGTTTTCCTGTCGAACTGAACACAGTCTATTTCATTGGGGCCCATAACATCCCCAATGCAAATATGAATGAGGACGGCCCCTCCATGGCTGTGAACTTCACCTCCCCAGGTACACATCCTCACTCCTGTCTTATTCTCTGTCTTGCCGGGACAGCTGATCTGGTATGTGGTTTGGTAGAGAGAGGCCAGGTCCCCTGGATGAGATGTTTGGCCTTGCTGAGTCTCGGTTTCCTCATGTGTAGTAGGGACACAACAGTAACTGCATCTCACTCCCAAGGAGAGGACTGAGTCAGGTGAAGTGGAGGGGAAAGCCCATTCCTGTGCATCGAGCACTGACTGAGCACTAGACACGCATCATCTCACTTGGGCTGCCAAAAACCCCACGGTTGGGACAGCCGTGATTTACAGATAAAAGAAACTGGGAGCTTAAGTAAGTTGCCCTGGTTACACACGCAGCAAAGTGAAGCTGCCGGCCAAACCTTGGTCCTTCTTGACTGATGCACATTGGCCATTCTTTGCGGTCAACGCAGAACGCTTGTTCCAGTCTCAGCTTCCGGGCAGGATGTGTAGTTTGAGCATGTGTGGCTGGTCTCTGAGGATGTACAGACTCCAGTGTGTCTGCCCCCTGAGCTGGGAGAAGGGGCAGGTGGCACTGAGGTGAGCGCTGGTTCTTTCCCTTGCTCTATGACGCACGCTCAGCCCTCTGGTGTCACACCTGCACGATCACACACGGGGTCAGTGCGAGGATGAGACGGGCTCTCCGGTGAGGAGGGCCCAGCATGGCGCCTGGCCCCAGCAGCTCCCACATCACTCCGGCTCGAGCTGGGTCACCTGTCCTGTCCCCATGCCCGTGCCTATGCCAGCAGTGGCACTGAAGCCAACTGGGGGCAATTTCCAATCTGTTTGCATTCCTTGGTTCTGGTCTAGTGTATCGCAGCATCACATCATTTACTACACAGTAGTTCTCAGGTTTCTTGGTGAGACCAAATCTCATTTTTAAAATATTTTGGAATACTTGTATAGAGAAGTTGCAAAGCTAATACAAAGAGTTCCCATGTAGCGCTCACCCAGTTTCTCTTACCGTTAACATCCTACGTTACCACCATCTATTTGTCAAAACTAAGAGTCCAACACTGGTATTTCTATGAACTAAAGTCCAGACTTTATTTCGATTTCATCTGCTTTTCCACTAATGTCATCTTTCTGTCCCAGGGGCATTTCGTCCCATGTCTTCTTCATCTCACCTGGTCTGTGAGAGTCTTTTGGTGTTTCCCTGTGTTTCACGACCATGAGTCTTAAGGAGTGATGGCCAGGCCTCCTGCAGGATGTTCCCCCAATCTGGGTTTGTCAGGTGTTTGTCTCATGACCAAACGGGGACACAGGGGTTTGGGGGGAATTCTGCACAGGTGAAGCGCTCTTCTTGTGGCATCTGTTGGGTGGGTGACACACACACGGCGTCACAGGTGATGCTCACCTTTATCACTGTCAAGTGGTATCTTGCCAGGTTTCTCCATGTAATCTAGTATCTTTCCCTTCCCCAGCTCCAGTTTTTGAAAACAAATCACTAAGTCCACCCCACCCTGGGGCGGAGGGGTATAGAGTAGAATTAAGCTCCACCTCTTGGAAGGGGCAGTGTCTACACGTATTACCGAACCTCATTTTTCAAGAATGGCTGGTTTTGATGTCTTCTCTTGGGGATCACAGATACCGTTCTGATAAAGGCTGTATTCAAATTAGATTCTGGTTATCACTTCATAGGTAGATAATCTTCTGTTTAACAGTATGTTAGCATCTTATTTACATCTGCTATCTGACCTCATATCTGAAATGTTCTGGCAATTCATTACAGGTGTGGTAAGCATGTGTTGTGTGCACACTTGTTGGCACTGGGGTGGAGCAGAGTTACTTTTTTCTAAAATATGAAAACTTTAAAATTTCCAGGGTGCCTGAACCCCATAATGAAATATAAAAAAGAGTGCATCGAGGCAGGTAAGTAAATTCAGCATTTGCTTTTGTTATGAGAAGAAATCCATACCTCGAGCCAGCACAGCTCCATCAGACTTTTTACGATGAAGAAACTGAGGCCTAGAGTAGGGCTGTTACATGAAGGCTGATCCCTAGCCTGACAAACTCTTGGCAGGTTTATGTCGTAAGCAAGTCACAGAAAAAACACCCCATTCCCTTGATTAAAGTAACATTTTAGCCCCAAACAAAGGCCCTCTCTGCCTGGATGGGACTCCGTTATAAGTCCTCCGCCCGCTCAGACACCAGCACCACTGACCTGTGGCCACAGGGGCCTGCCTGGATTTGCAAACATTCAAGGTGACAGCATTAGCTAAAGTAATGACCTAGAAGCACGCTCCCAACCTGCGACCTCATACGGGTCACCTCTCACAAGCAGACTGTTAGAAACTGCCCCTGCCCTGATTTTTGAAATAGCCCTTTCAGGTTAATCAGTCCCAACCATCTAATTTCCAAGGGGTTTACAAGAATTTCTGTGCATTTCTGAATCATGACAGTCATAGGATGCTAATGAGGCTAATGGTTTGGGGGGACCAGTCCCTGTCTTTTAGGCACCCCCACCCCACAGGCATCCTTGTGAACCCCAGCAGGCCGAGCATGTGTCTCCTTGCTGAAAGGCAGACTTGGAGCTTTGGGCCTCCTCCATGGCCTCCTGCCGGGAGACATCTGGGGTGGAGGACCGTGTGGGGTGTAGGGGGCCTGAGGGCCTTAAATCACTTCCAGTACCCAATTCCTAAAGGCAGTTGGAAGTGAGGGCTTGAAATGGCCTCCTGGGTGGGGAAAATAATGCATGCTCTTCTATGTCATGTTCCTGGAAATTGACCAAGCGCTGATTTGCAAGGCACATGATTGAAACAACTGGCTCTTCTCACAGAGTAGACCTGCCAGGGTATTCTTTTAAGCCATGAGGCACTTCCTTATTTCCTGACATTTGGTTAAGTTGGGGCAGAGCAGGCTGATGGATGGAGTTCTGGAATCCAGAGTGTTTTAGTTCTAGCTGAATTTACTCACTCTATAAACTCAGACACGTCTCCTAAGCTGTGGCTTTTGCTCCCCATCCTGGAAAGAGGGAAATCCTGACCCCCAGCCCTTCACTCCAAATGGATGCCGAGTAGAAGACAGTAGTCGAACCCAGCACCCGCCCTGTGCCTCCCATCACCATCAGCCCAGGGAAGCTGTTTTCAGCAAAGCAGTGACGTGGGGTCACTACACTTTCCTGGGCAGCAGGTTACTCTGAGATGATAAATAAAAGACACGCTGTGTGGTAGTGTGTATCTCGTGGAGGTGTGCCTCAGAACAGACATCTGTTGTGGTCAAGCCCTTTTGGGGACTTAACTGAGGGCCCAGTTCGCAGCTCCATCCTTGTGATTCTCCCGACTCACAGGAAGTCTGTGGAAGCCAAACATCACCGCTTGCAAGAAGAGCGCGAACACAGTGGAAGTGAATTTTACCACCAGTCCCCTTGGAGACAGATATATGGCGCTCATCCAAAACACCACCGTGATTGGGACTTCCTATGTGTCAGAGGTACTTTCTTCCCCTTCATGTTCTCAACACCAGTCCTGTCCTCCACCTCCAGCTCTCCTTCCCTTGTTGGAGAACTTCCCTGGACAGACTCTTTTGAGAGAGCAACAGGCAGGACTGTCTTCTATACAAATGTACTGGACTATTTTGATTAATTAAAAAAACCAACCAAGTCCCCTGGGGGCATCTCTGGAAACATCCCTGTGAATCTAAAACCCACCAAAGGTAGAGGTCTCAGAAGTACAGAGTAAATCTGACTCACGCAAATTAATGAGTTCCAGTCGGTCTCAGAAGTACAGAGTAAATCTGACTCACGCAAATTAATGAGTTCTAGTCAGTTTGGGAAGAGCAGTGGCTTCACTGGCAGTCTTTAATCTCCTCCCTCATATGGCTCCTAACTCTTGATTTTTGTCTCACTCACCTGCACCAGAAGGAACTAACTCGAACTTCCATGGTGGTTCACGTGACTGGGGAAAGTGAAGGTGCTGTAGTCCAGGTAAAGCTGAACAAGATGCTCCGGTGGGGACAGAATGGGGGTCACTGAAGACCCACTGCACTGCCACTCGTTGCTTTTGGGTGGTCCGTTCTGGTTGGAGCAGATGTATTCTCTCCTCGGTTCGCCTCTGCCAGCAGCCTCTCTTGGCATTACGTTGATGTTGATGGGGAATCTGTGAGGTCAGGAAGGTGAACTTATTGTCACGGTCCCTTTGGCTTCTGTGAGTGGCTGTTGACTTTCCAACATGCTTTTATTCCCATTTGCTGTCACAGAGCCACAAAGGAATTTTGAGACAGGAATACAATTTTATTATCCAAAGACTCCATTTCCACTGCAAAATGAAGTAAAAAAGGATTTGAATTTAGAAGGTTTGGGTTCCTGATCAGTTTATGAACTTTGAAGGGCAACTCTGTCCTCTCGGGGCCCGTGATTAGTCTTCTGAAGAACAGAAGTCAGGCCAGCAGATGTTCTCAGGGCTCTTTCCGCTCCGACTTCATGTTACCAAGGGTCCCAGTGGAACAGATCCACACCCAAGGTATAAGACTCTTTTGTTCTTCATTCCTGGGACATAAAGGCAGCACTCAGACATGCCCAGGGGAGCAGATACCCATCAGCATGTTAGAACTGCACCCCTTTTCCAAGGAAACAGACTCTCCTAGTCCCAAGGGACTTAAAAGTGCTGACTTAGGTCAAGAGGCGTCCCACTGCCCTATTTTTTGAGGACATATTTGTTTATGTATTAGGATGTGACCTAACCCTTTTAGATAAGGAAACTAACCTCTTACTGGGACTCCCATGTGGCTCAGTGGTAAAGAATTTGCCTGCCAGTGAAAGAGATGCGGGTTTGATCCGAGTCAGGAAAATTCCCTGGAGAAGGAAGTGGCAACCCACTCCTGGGGTATTCTTGCCTGGGAAATCCCATGGATAGAGAAGCTTGGTGGGCTACACACAGTTCATGGGGTTGCAGTCAGACATAACTGAGCATGCAAAACCTCTTAGCAACATGTACAAAGCGTAGATTCACAACCCAGGAGTTGTAGACGGTGTCTGGTCTTGGGACACTGGTCTGGATTTTAGGGCTTTATGACAGAAGTATGACCAAGGTGGGGGGGGAACATCTTACTACAATGCCAAAGAGGGGTTGAAGCTAGAAAAAAAGGGATGAGAAATTCTTGTGAAAAGTAGGAATAATGCCAAACCCCTCCTTAGCTGACTCCGTATTTCCGTACCTGTGGCAACGACTGCATTCGACAAAGAGGAACCGTGGTGCGCTGCCCACAAATGGGAGTCTCTTCTCCTCAGGATCATGGTAAGTGCCCAGCACAGAGCCTCAGGACAGGAAGGACCCCAGCCCTACCCCACTCAGAATGCAACAGGCCGGGGGTGTGGGAGAGAGTGAGGGAGGGTCCCTGCCTGTGGGCGCTGAACAGGGTGCAGGGAAAGACAGCGGTTCTGTGCCCAACAGCTACAGGATGAATAGGAATGAGGCTTCATTTATGAGATCAAGATCCTGACCAAGCAGGACATACAGAAGGAGGGGGAAAAAAAATCAATGGTGCAAAAAAGATGTTCAGAATGCCCCAAGGGTCTGCTGAAAAACGTCAGTGGCGTAAAAGGACTGAGTATATGAAGAAACATGCATTTCACTGCATTTTGACTTTCTTACCTGTCTCAGTGGCCCAGGGCTGGCTGTTACTGTAACTCGATGCGGCCACACAGACATTTGGATAACAAATTAGGAATAGTGGCACCAAGAGACACACCTCGTTGGTGCCTGAGAGCAGCCTGTTCTGGAGAATGTTTCTCTGGATTTAATGATGTTAGTTCTTTCAAATTAAATGCTTCCGGAACTAGCCCGGCATGGGGTCAAAAGTTGGAAGGTGCTGTTTTTAGAAGCTCAGCCTCCTGACTAGGCACAGTGCCAAAGGATTCCTGAGCACTTTCACACGCTGGAGCTTAACTGACTCTCAGCATTCCTGTGACCGGGTAGCATCACCCTCACATTTGTCAGTCTGACAGAACAGCCTTTAAAGATGCCCTCTATGCATACTGTGTATTATATGAAGTAATTGCACCCAGAATAACATTAATTCATCAAAGAACAACAACAGCAACAAAATTGAATGTAAACTCTGGTTACCACAGTGAAAATGTGGAGTAAGAGGCCAAAGTGATTTTGGAGGACCATTCCTAACCTCCTGGGCCCCTCTCCCTTTTGAGCAGCTAGTGAAAGACCTGGACACTCTGAAAAAAAAAAAATACTGATCTGCAGAGATCTACTGACCCTTGGCTTTGAAGGAACCCAAACTTCTACAAAGCGTCAAATAAAAATTTTAGTCTTCAAATATGAGAGAAATCTGGTTGTGTTCTGCTGAAAATAAGTAAGTTCTGTTCTCCCCAGACAGAAGTGTGCTGGGTGGCTGGCTGCCTCTCCTCCTGTCCGCTCTGCTTGTGGCCACATGGGTGCTGGTGGCTGGCATCTATCTGACCTGGAGGCACGGTAAGGGTTATAATTCAGCTCTTTAAAGAATGACGCTGATTTTTTTTTTTAAAAGGAGCTTCCTCCAGAAGCAATCACATTTTGGCATCAGAATAGAGTCAGACAACATTTATTTAATACCTTAGAGCTCTCCTTAAGACTGATCACACCTTTACCCTTTGCAAGGGTAAAGCAAGGGTCAGGACTCAGGATCTGCACTCACCTTTTTTAATCATCTTTTTCTTTAAATGACTGAAGCATCTACAAAGACTGAAATGATCCAAAGATAGCTAATAACAAATTGCCCCTTAATCGAGATAGCTAATCTATGCTAGTTTCTACTTTTTTAAAATAAATTCTTCCAAGGCATAAGAACAACACTGTGGCAAGTATACACAGAACTATACAAAAAAGATCTCCATGACCCAGATAACCACAATGGTGTGATCACTCACCTAAAGCCAGACATTGTGGAGTGTGAAGTCAAGTGGGCCTTAGGAAGCATACGACGAACAAAGCTAGTGAAGGTGATGGAATTCTAGCTATTTCAAATCCCAAAAGATGATGCTGTTAAAGTGCTGCACTCAGTATGCCAGCAAATTTGGAAAACTAAGCAGTGGCCACAGGACTGGAAAAGGTCAGTTTTCATTCCAATCCAAAAGAAGGGCAATGCCAAAGAATGTTCAAACTACCGCACAATTGTATTCATTTCACATGCTAGCAAAGTAATTACTCTTTAAGTTCTCCCAGCTAGGCTTTAACAGTTTATGAACCTAGAACTTCCAGATGTTCAAGCTGGATTTAGAAAAGGCAGAGGAACCAGAGATCAAATTGCCGACATCCTTTGGATCATAGAAAAAGCAAGAGAATTCCAGAAAAAACATCTGCTTCATTGANAGCATATTAAAAAGCAGAGACATTACTTTGCTGACAAACGTCCGCACAGTCAAAGCTATGGTTTTTCCAATAGTCATGTAGGGATGTGAAAGTTGGACCATAAAGAAAGGTGAGCACCAAAGAATTGATGCTTTTGAACTGTAGTGTTGGAGAAGACTCTTGAGAGTCCCTTGGACTGCAAGGAGATCAAACCAGTCAATCCTAAAGAAAATCAATGTTGAATATTCATTGGAAGGACTGATGCTGAAGCTGAAGCTCCAATACTTTGGCCACCTGATGGGAAGAACTGACTCATTAGAAAAGACATTAGTGCTGGGAAAGATTGAAGGCAGGAGGAGAAGGGGATGACAGAGGACGAGATGGTTGGATGGCAACACTGACTCAATGGACATGAGTTTGAGCAAATTCTGGAAGTCGGTGATGGGAAGGGAAGCCTGGCATGCTGCAGTCCATGGGGGTGGCAAAGAATTGGACACGATTGAGTGACTGAACAACAAGAAGGATCTTGCCAACCCAAAAACACTGAACACTTGAATGAGAAATAAGAGTATCAGTATTTATAAAGTACTAGGGGGAGACCCACTGATAACCTCTGCTTTCCCTTCCCCTCTACACATCGACATGGAAATGCAGCCTTTGAGTTGTTTGTGATGTTGTAGATAGAACAAGATTAATCCCGTGTTCTTTCTTAGGTAGGCAAGCCATATCAAACTCTTGTAGAAATACTTACATTAATGGGAATTGTTTCACCTGTACCTATCTTTTACAGTAGTTTCACACCTAGCTTCCATTCTGTAGCATGTATAGGACAGAATTCCAGTTGAGTTCCAGCTGAAATGAGGTACCACTTAAACTTATGCAACTGTTAAGAAACCCTACCACCCATAGGTAGAAGATGGAATTACTACTGAGTTGACCCAACTCAAAACATGATGCGAAAGGGCAGAGGTCAGCTGTCCTTTTTATGTATGGCACTGAAAAATCCTATTACAACCACCCACCTGAAACAGAGTACCTTGAACCTAAATAGTTTCTGTGAATTTATCTGAAAAGGGATGGGCTTGATCAAGAGGACTAACTCAGTGACAGGGACTTAGAAAATAAATCTGTTGCAGCATCTTTAAGGTTTAAGTACTGGTGTATTTCAGGTGATGTGTACGAAAGGAACTTCAGGGGTATCTTCCTCTCTGGCAGTAATAACACCTCTGATGCTCAGCCAGTGCGCCCTAGCAAGGGGTCATTTATCTGCCATGGTTTAGATTGGCCTGAAAACCTGCTGATTTGCTGTGCAGAGATGACAGATGTTTCTCTCCCCCACAGAACGGATCAAGAAGACTTCCTTCTCAGCTGCCACGCTACTGCCCTCTATTAAGGTTCTTGTGGTTTACCCTTCTGAAATATGCTTCCATCACACAGTTTGTTACTTCACTGAATTTCTTCAAAACCGCTGCAGAAGTGAAGTTATCCTTGAAAAGTGGCAGAAAAAGAAAGTAGCTGAGATGGGTCCTGTGCAGTGGCTTACCACTCAGAAGCAAGCAGCGGATAAGGTCATTTTCCTTCTCTCCAATGATAACTCCATGTGTGATGGTGCCTGTGACAAGAACGAGGGCGGCCCCTGTGAGAACTCCCAAGACCTGTTCCACCTCGCCTTTAACCTCTTCTGCAGTGATCTGAGAAGCCAGGCTCATCTGCGCAAATACGTGGTGGTCTCCTTCAGAGAGGGCGACATCAAAGAAGACTACAGCGCGCTCAGGGCCTGCCCCGCGTACCGCCTCACGCGGGACGCTGCAGACCTCTGCGCGGAGCTCCTCCACGCCAAGCGGCGTGTGTCGGTGGGGAGAAGGCCGCGCGCCTGTCACTACAACTGCCTCTCCCTGTAGCCCAGCCACAAAGCAGGAGACCTTAAAGCCTTCTGACCCCTCCAGTCACAGGGGAAAAAGTGTCTGTGAGAATCTGAAGTTTACCATATAGGCTACTTGCAGGGAGGATTACAGCTGCACCTTGAACAACCCAAGGGTGCTGACCCCTCTGCCGCTGAAAATCCAGGGAAAACCTCACAGTCCATCATGTGTACCCGGGGCTCAACCATCTGCAGATGTGTCATACGTTATTTACTGAAAAAACTGCGCAAATGAATGTAGCTGCCCAGTTCAAACTTGTATTGTTCAAGAGTCAACCATATGTATATCTGCTTGAGCAAAAGGAATAGGGAGGATTTACAATGGAATACATAACACCTTAATCTAGTAATTAAACGTTAAACCAATAAAATTGTTATTACTAAAGACTGTGGCATTAAAGAATGGAAACTAAATTTATGACTATAAAGCTCAATTTCATATCTAAAAACCAGGAACACTTATAATGTAAAACTATAACCACTGTGATAATCGTAATAGAGCATTTCTCAGCTGAACATCCAGTCCTGAACAGGGCATGCCCTGCAGAGTAGGTAGAACTGTTTAGCTCTGTTACTAAGTTTAATTAACGAATGCCAAAACTAAGAGTCCTCACTAGTTCAATAACTTCTTTGGTGAAAAACCCTCTATAGCACACAAAAATCTTTATAACAAACATAGGGAATAACAGGCTGCGCTGATCTTCGCTGACCATATGCCCTACTCTGTGTGGAAACACTTCTATACCTGGTATTTTAATAGGACCCCCACCCCCACCCCTACCCCGAACCAGCTGAACTAGCTTCATGTCCTACCTGACTCTTGGACAGGGAATTTTTTAACATCAACAAAGTATATTTACAGAGCTGATGTCTACCTTTGCCCAAAGTTACCCATTAGAAGTAATTGTCAGAATTCAGAGTTTGTTGATTATTACATAACTTTTCATGTTCAAGACAAAAATAATTCCTATGTTGAAGTTAGCCCTCTTGAAGTAATTTTTTATAAATGAGTTATTATACTGTTTTACTTAAGAAACAGAATCTACCTTGGCATTACAGAATGAAGAGATGGGTGGCATTTTTAAGTCTTCCAATTTTTTTTTACTTTTCTCAAAGCATCTTTTTCTTAATGTAGAAGTCACCAAAAGTTGGTTATATTAGCATTTGTATTTTTTTAGGAAAGCCTGTCTCTTTCACACAGTGCAAGACTGCATCTGCTCTAGAATGTGGATCAGTTTCAGGTGGACAACTGCTAAAATGTTTCTGTAGAGTATCCCTAAAAGGCCATGCCACTCCTCTGATACATGTCTTACAAAGACCAAAATAAAGAAGCATACTGTGTCCAGCTTCACAAGCAAATAATTAGCAATGCCTGAGGCAATACAATTAATGTGGTAAAGCTAACTGACTTGTTGTGTTCAGTTTGCATGGCGCTTTTAAGTGCTGATAATAAAAGATGGACATGGCCTATGTCAAAACATGGACCAGAAACCAACTTCCTCTGAATCAACCTCTACCAGTTTTAAGAGCAAATTGCTATTATGTAAGAAGCTATTATAAACAGAATTCATTATGCTTTTAGAAATAGGTAGCTAGTATTAAATTGTGTTGAAACAACCCAGAAATGTAATATCATAGTGTATATACTTAATTAAAAACTAAAAAAAAAAACAACAAAAAACCAACAATAGCATAGTTTTCAGATTGAAGGCAAGGATCCCAAAGAAGAGAAGCAAGTTAAAATTTTGTTACACTGGCAGGCTCTTCTTTGTTTCTAACCTACTGAGCAGACACTCCTGATAATCCTATTTATTTAAAATACTCTAGTATTTTTCCATGTCTTAAACTTCCAGCCATCCTTTATTTTTTTTTTTTTTGGCCCCAATGCTTACGGGGTCTTACTTCCCTGACCAAGGACTGAACCTATGATAACAGTAGTGAATGGGCTGAGTCCTAACCAGTGGACCGCCAGGGAAAGCTCCCAACCATCCTTGTTTCTATGTTCCACTTGCCTGACTTTCTTACCTTCACCTACTTCTGTCTTTCGGCCAGCCCCACCCCCAGCCCCGGTTCTAGAGATCATACTGAACGAGAAGCACTCTGAGAACGTTCACGGTTTTTCAGGTAAAGGAAGACTGGGGAGCTAATGATTAAGTTAGTAATTCTGACAGGTACCTTGTCTAAATTATATATAAACCATTTCTGTTTGGCTTTAGGAAGAAAATGAGTTTTCCTTTTCTGTTTCTGTTCTGTTTTGGTCAAACAGTGACTGGTTTCCTTTCCCAAGCCCACCCCAGATCATGTGGGTAACAAAAGCCAACCAACCCGACCTTAAATCTTTGCTTCTGGAAATCTAGACCTGAATGGGCCCTGCTATTTTTTGTAATCCAAGAGAAAATTTTAAAAATGAAACAAAACAACAACCAAAAAAACCTTTTTTTTTCCCTAAGGAATTTTAGCAGCATACACAAGTCATGACATACGTTTATGCTATACTAGACAAGAGGGGAAATGTGTAACCAGACATTTCTCACGATTCACGTACAGTCACACACCCACCCCCATGGGTACATGAGCCTGCCTAACCCTCAGAGTCAACCTAAAGGAAGGGCTTCACCACCTGAGAACCACTCTCCTGCAGCGATGGGCGTCATCAGGAGTCTGAGACCCCGAGGGAGAACAGGAGAATTCACCACGGAAGACTAAGTTCATATTTATTCTCAAATGTCCTGACTACAAAAGCAGCGTATTTTTTACACCAATGTAATGTGTTCAACAAAAAAAAGTTAAAATTCATTTATTTTCATGAAACTTAAAAGCACCTAAGTCAATAAATTATACTAAGTCTTTTATACCACAAGGTTTGTGTTGGTCTTCAACAGCGACTTTTCTGTCCATTTCACCACACAAAAGCAGCCCGCTCTCGTAGCATGCGGACGCCAAAGCGCTGCCACTCTCTCTGATAAATCCACAGTTCCTGTGTGGTATCCAAACAAGCCAACACTGCCCCTCCTTTCCAGGCAATCAGCCGGGGATCCATGTCCTAGAGAAGAAATGGCAAAGATATTTCAATGAAAACAGACAAGACATACACTTAATCATTTACTGGAATTTAGGGGCAGACTCAAGCAGGACCTATTAACTAACCACAGACATTTTCTATTTCAATTCACAGGAAAATTTTTCAGTTTTTATTACTGAAGATGCTATTATTCACTACTTACTATTATTCCATGAACAGTCGCTATAGGCCAGACCATTTCTAAGGAAATAACTTATTTCGAAACGAGTGCAATAAATATATCCCATAACCTCTCCCTCTGAATGAAAATTAAACAGAAATATTCCCTGGAATTGTCAGTGAGAATGATAAAATACAGACACAATCTGTTTCTAAATTGCTGTGTTTATGGTTTCCATGATAGTTCAAACCAAAAAGATCCTTGAAGATCACCTAGGAAGATCACCTAGATGAAGATCATCTAGGAACCAGCAGGAGATTCTCAACATGAAAGAGATGAAAATGGACTTGTTCCAGTTGACAGTGTGAGAACAGTCAGTCTTCTCCTTGCCCACTCCATCCTTTGACAACGTCAGAAGTCAGTCATGCTAATCTGGAGGACACAGCAGGGACTGAACGCCAGTAATCCAGCCCCTGAGTCCATAGCTCCTTCCACATTTGTGTGACCTGCTGAAAGTAATTTTTCTACTTGCCCCAAGCCCTCGAGAGCTCCCTACACAGACTCACGCCTCCCAGGATCTTCTCTGTCCACATATAACCACAAATAATGCTGTTTCACTGGAAAAGAGTCTGACCTGCACCATGCACAACATACCTTGGGCCTTGTGATCACATCCACATTTTCAATAATTCGCCTGAATGAAGGTGGCATTTTATTGAGAATTCTGTGCTGCAGAAATTCTTGGGCTTTATGAAACATCAAACCACCTCCCACCACCAGGATGGAGCTGTACATCTTCTTTTTGGTTTCATCAGATGCTGAAACGACAGTGAAATCCCTTTCACGCTTTTTCTCCGTATCTACCACCACCCTAGGCCAAGCCACCATCATCCATCGCTTCGTAATGGCAGGAGCCCCTCAAAGCGCTCTCCCCAACCTATCTTTGACAATGCTCCAGGGCAGCCAGAGGAACCTTGCACAAAATGTGAGCAAGTTGCTGTCCCCACACATGCCCCGCCCCCCAACCCTGCTCCTAGCAGGATTAGGACCTCAATCTCTAAGGGGGCCTATAAAGTCCAGTGTGGTGTGCACCCACCCGTTCCACAGCCTCACCCTGCTTCCTAGTCACACTGGCCTATACACAGCCTTCTTCATCTACCGAGAATGCCTTTTATGTGGTAATCTGACTTGTTTTGGCCTTTGGTACTTGGTTCTATGTTTACAAAGGCCAGGAATCAGATTCTAATACCTGACAATGTCAGCACAAAGTAGGTCCTCGACAGTTTTTGAATGAACATGCTGCAAGATAAAACCACACCCTAGCCTGAACCCTGGAACTGCTCCCTCCCGGCTCCCCAGATGTGCTTACAACAGCAGTCTATGCTATGGAGGATGGCTTTATCCAGTCCCAGGGCTTTCCCTTCAAACAGCGAGATGGCAGTCTTCCTGGACATCAGTGCAGTGAGAGCCTCCTCAGAATCATTGCCAGCCATCAAACAGTCTCCTTGGGAGGGTCCCAGATCCACCTCCTGAGAATGCAGTCTTTCTGGAAGGTCAGAGGACTGGCCACGAAGGTCCCCTTCGAATCCAATGGGTTTGGATGCAGACTTCCGGTCAGCAGTAGCCTTCGCAGACTTTAAATCAATCAAAAGGAGAGTCGAATGGATGGTCTGACTATGACAGTGGTCAGTGTTCTCCAGCCAGATGTCCCTCCCCACCACACTGCTGGACGCTCTATAAAACAAAGGCCTGTCCCTGTGTCGCAGACAGGACACGCCCCACAGCATACAACCTAGCACCCAGTCCCCGCCCCTGGATACCTGGGTGGGGCGGTATGCAGAAGATGAAGACATGTTAACAAAACCAAAGCAACCCCAGGCTGGCAGGGCAGACCACAGAACTTTCCTAATATTGGTTGGATTTTAAGACTGACATGTTGATGTTGATGAACTATTCCCCCATGAGTTTTTGAGTATAGTTATTTCAGTGGAATTCTTGGGCCAGTGGCTGTCATGGGTCCTCATTTTCAGACCTTATCTAAGCAACCTCATGCTCAGCTTTGCGACAGGAACAAGGACCAGAGCAGGTTTACAGTCCTCTTCTCTCCATCATGAGCTGCTGTTTCACTGGCAGATAAAAGCTTTAATCTGTGCCCCTGCACCAAACATCCTACAACTAGGATCGGCTCTGGACAAAGGAATTCAGTTCCTTGCCTGTACCTACCCACCTTTC